TAGTTCCTGCTGCCCCTTTGCATTCTGGGGTAGGCTCCCAGTGCCTAAGGGGCCGAAAACATTGCTGCAGGTAGTTCTGGGAACATGTAGCCAACCTCTCGTCTCTCCCGGCTTGAAAGCAACGGCGAGCAATTTTTTCACACCCTCTTTTCCCTGGTTATCCGTCTAGATGCCATAGCAGGACGAACATGGATCCTGCTCAGCTTCAAACTCCTGTGGCAAGTATTGCAAACACCTCCCGCCTTGCCCGAGCAAGGAAGAATGTGGGGAGGCCATGACCACAAAACTGCATGAAACCGTTAAATGGAGCAATTGGCGTAGGCTGGCGACAGTTTGTCCCGCTGACACAGTCGAGCGGTGATTCTGGTCCCATGAGACAGGCACAGCTGGGTGGGACTGCATGCTTTGCAGCTAGGGGTCTATGCCCAATGGCTGCAAAACTTTCACATGCGTAAGGCCACTTTCACTGAGGGTCGTGAATTGTTCTCCCCAGCCTGCTGCACAGCAACACCAGAATGAGACCCGCTCTCATAGCTAAGACGTGAGTGGCAATAGCTTGCAACACCAGACAGCTACGGATAAGTCGGGAATCAATTTGGAGGGGGTAAATCTACAGGGGGGGGTTGCTGTGATCCAAGTCGCCAGGGCAATCCACTGCCCTTCTGCTAGGAAGGGTAGTGACTCTGGGAAACATGGGGGGGGGGGCCTAGAGGTGGAACGCACGCCCCTATCTTGGCACCAGACTGCCCTTGCAAAGAACATAAACCGCAAGGGAGACTTCTCGCTGGTGTTGCAGGTGCTGGGGGATCACCAAGGCTGCTTCGCTGATACCAGCGTGGGATGGTCGGGAAAGGTGCATGACGTGCACATCTGCAGGAACTCCCGCCTCTTCAGAAAGCTGAGACCTGGAACTTGCTTCCCAGACTGGAAAATTAGCAGTGGAGACAGCGAAATGTCAGTAGTGAACCTTGGAGACCCTGCCTACCTTGGCTCCAGTGGCTCGCGAAGCCGTACGCAGGAGGCCTTGACAGCAGTCAGGAGCAGTTTGACTCCAGGCTGAGCATGTGCAGAGTGGTAGGTGGAACGTGCTTTTGGCCGTCTGTTGACTCGGTTAGATCTCAGCAAAAGCAACATTCCTGTTGTTGTGGCTGTTTGCTGTGTGCTCCATAATATCTGTGCAAGTAAAGGGGAGGAGTTTCTGGTGGGGTGGGGGGTTGAGGCAGATTACCCAGCTGCCATAGACCCGAGCAATAAGAAGAGCACATCCTAGAGCACTGTGGCTTTGAAACCCTACCCCTCCCCAGTGTCCTAGGGCCAGGAGGAGGGCAGGTGGGTTCAGCACAGGGTGCAGAGGGACTTGGTGCTCCAGATGCTTTTCCTGCACCTCTGCCAGGTGCCTCAGCAGCTCTGTTTGCTCCCCTGTGAGAGTCAAGATCTTATTCGTGTTCCCTGCATGCTCCCCTCTCCTCTGCTACTCTGGGTGTGGAATCTGCAATATTGTTCTCCTCCATACATTGAATTGCACCCATCGGTGTATGTGGATTGCATTTGCTCATTAAACATCCCAGCCCGAGTATGGGTTTTTTTCCGTTCTGGTCTCTGATAGCTGAAGAGCTGGAGGACCTGGGTAACAGACTCGCTGTTGCAGCTGCATCGAGGGGGCAAAGGGGCAGATCCAAGATGCACTGTGGCATGCAGAAGCTAATCTCTTACCGTGAATGCAGCTCTGGGCACACAAAGGCAAGTGTTATGTAGAAGGGCAAAGATCTCTTGTAAGCAGGTACAAGATCCACAAGCCCTGCATGGAGCAGCTGCAGTCGATTTCCTGGCAAGCACGATAAGCCTCAGGTTGGGGGGTTCTTGCTCTTTTGCTTCCACTTTAACAGTGGCTGCAAAGTGCAATCCTTGGTTATGCAACCGGCTGCTTGTGTTTACGAGGGGCCCTCCAAAAGGGTGTGGGACAGCCAGGCGCGTGAGTTCTGCCTGCACAGGTTCCGCTCTCCACACAGCAGTGAGGTCCAGGATCTCCTGCATGCTCCATGCTGGCGCTCATGGGTGACCCTGGCCGTTAAGTCGGGCGTGTTGCTCAGGTGTGCTGCCTGCTCTGAGGTCTGCTGACCAAATGGGAGATGAAAGGCAAGTTTTCCTGGGGCTTCTCCTGTATGCCTCAGAGCAGCAGAGTTCACAGCCCTGCCCAGAGCGGTCATATTGTGGCACAGTACGACACTTCCCCAAGTTCAAAAGCTCGACTTCAACGGTGCTGCATCTGCACTGTCCTCAAGTCGACCGTGAAAGGTGGATTTTAGCGTGACTGCTCCGCGAGGAGGCATTCCAACATTGACTTGAACCATCCTTCAAGTTGTCGGCCTGGGCGTGGTGATATAGATTCATTGTTTATAGAGTTGACCCAAAACATCTAAGTTTGACCTAAACTCATAGTCCAGACAAGGCCTAAGACTGGGCCGGCTTCCGAGAAGCAGAAAGAGAGTCTGGTCTACTCTGAGGGTTTCCACAATGACAATGCGTAACAGCAAGAGTGCAGGTTCCCTTCCCCAAATGTCTCTGTAACAAACAGGCCGAACCCAGGGCAAACGGGTGACGGCTGCAGCAAGTTCTCCCTTGAACTCTTGCCATTCACAGGACACAGCCCCATGTGCAAGGGCTCCCTATACCTCTGAGTGCCAGCTGCTGCTCTGGATGACGAGGTGGATCACTCACCAAGTGCCCTTCTCCGTCCAGTCCCTCTGAGGTGCCTAGCATTGGCCTCGGAGAGATGGACGGCCCCAGTCTGGTTGGTCTTACGTTCGCTGCTTCGGGCAGCTGCCAGGCCTTCGTGCACAGCCTCATTCAGCGCCCACAGCACCGAGAGCTCCCAGGAGTGGAATGGCAGAAGAAGTGGGTGGGGGTTTCTTAAAATTGCTGCCCCCGACACAGCCTGTCAAAGCAGAGCCTGGGTCTGCGTGACCACAAGCCACCTCTTCCCCACA